GGAAGTAACTGGTTGTTAGGCAGTGCTGAAATAAGGCTGTGATGTCTTCTGGAAAGATCTGGAAAGATCTGGAAAGATCAACAAAACCTGGCTACCAATCCTGAAAAATACAGCCTGCAAAAGGTCAACGAACTCAGCTCAACCACCAGGACATGTGAACAGTTCACACAATGAACTTGCTAATCACCCCCAGCAGCCCCTCGTTAACAATTCAGTAGAAGAAAAAACCCGCAAACGTGCATAAAATTGTGCTCAGCTCAACCACCAGGACATGTGAACAGTTCACACAATGAACTTGCTAATCACCCCCAGCAGCCCCTCGTTAACAATTCAGTAGAAGAAAAAACCCGCAAACGTGCATAAAATTGTGCTCAGCTCAACCACCAGGACATGTGAACAGTTCACACAATGAACTTGCTAATCACCCCCAGCAGCCCCTCGTTAACAATTCAGTAGAAGAAAAAACCCGCAAACGTGCATAAAATTGTGCTCAGCTCAACCACCAGGACATGTGAACAGTTCACACAATGAACTTGCTAATCACCCCCAGCAGCCCCTCGTTAACAATTCAGTAGAAGAAAAAACCCCTTCAAGACCATGGCCACACAGCCCAGAAGACCCACACCAGCCATCATATGCCGGCCGTGAAAGCCTTCGACAATACAAATGAAGGAACTTTACTCAACTGATCTGTTTCGCCATTGTTCTCAGGCTGGGCCTGACACTGGGTTTTTTAAAGTCTTAAATTTCATAAAATATTTTAAAGGACTGGCATATCAGTACACGAAGCAGACAGCATCATCTATTACACACCTGTTTATATGGAAGTCTCATTAGCTCTATCAGAAATACTGGTCACTTGAATGCTATTTTCGGGCTCTGATTCTAAGCAGCTGTTACAGCCTGAAAATGGCATTCAGATTATTAGTATTTTTGACAATCTGTGACAGAGGTGAATAGCAAAACAACTGAGTGTGGTGCTTGGAAGATCTCCTAAGATCTGTAAACACTACTTAGATAACTATTGGCAACCAATAATTATGTACAGGTGAATATGCAACCTGCAGATGAGAGACAAAGTGTTTTGGTCCAACTCCATGCCTGCTATTCTATACTGTATATAGAAATACTATTTTCTTTGTCCCTTTCCGAGCACACTAGGAAAACCTTTTGTAGGGGAACAATTTGTCAGAGTGTATTTACAGAGCTGTTCTATGGGCCAACAAAATAATCCTAGAACAATTACTCTAAATAATTTTGTTCATTAAATTAGGAGTCAGTAGAGTCAACCCAAACTGCCCAAAGTCACCCCACAGTGAGATGGGTGGTGACAAATTTGAAATATAAATAAATAAAAAATAAAAACCCCACTGAACACACAAAGATTTTCTTTGAGCAAACGTGCATAAAATTGTGGTGTGCATATGGCTTGCAAAAAAAAAAAAAACAATCTAATTGAACTAGATATCTTGCTTCTTTTAATTTTGATTTTTTAATTTCTGTTGGCTGAATATATAATTGGTGATCATAGATCTTTTCCCCAGGAAATACATTTTGACACCATTCATCCACATTTCATGTATTAATACAAAGAATTGTCTTACCTTTTTAGTTGAAGATCATTGTTTATAAAAGTTTGACTGTCTCTAACATCATGTTTGAAATCCTTTCCATACAAATAGCTGCACCAACAGATACACAATCAAATATTCTGAACAACTCTCAGTTTCTCTTCATAGTTTAACAGGAAGGTCCTAACAAAATATTTCAGCTTGTGGTTCCTGATTGTGTCCTGTATGACTGCTGCAGTCACCTTTTATCTCATTGTAAGATAAAGCCTGGGCCTGCAACCAATGTGTGCCTCTTGGTTTTTAATAATTAACAAGTATTGACAAAGTGTGAGATAAAATGCAGCAATGAAACTATTTCTAATGAAATCTCTTAAGCAGTTAAAGCAACAATGACACCTGTTGTCATAAGTAAGTAATATTCTGCTCTTGTTAGTAAGTAAAAAACTGAAACAGAATGATTGAGCTTTACTGTCTGGAATTTTCATGATTGCCATAAGATGCAGAACATTTCTTTTACAATATTTCTATGTGAAAACAAGCTCCAACTGCTGAATTGAATAGAAGAATCCCTGGTAGAAACAAGAAAGTGGTAATTTTGGTAGGAAAATGCAGCTTTCTTTAGTGTTGCTTTCCACAGTTTCAGAACCCTTCTATGTTATGTAATGCAAATGAGCAACAATATAGTATAAGTCTAAAATTATATTTGTGCACTCAAGAGCTCCCAGATCTGAGTTTCTAAAATCTAGGTGACCACTAGGTGGCAGGAAAAAGTTTCATTTTTCTATATCTCTGTGCTGCCACCCAGTGGTCATCGAGAGATTGGAGATTGGAGATTGGAATCTAGGAGCCGTAATATATTTAAAACATTTACCATCAAGTTATTCGGTAATTTATTCTAGGCCAGGTTTAAGTCTTCTTTTGTATCATGCTTCCTACACTCTTAGGTTATTATACAGTAACACGTTCTCCTCAAGTCCCTGTAGGCATACTTTAAGTCCATCTCATTACTTAGCCCTATTCTGCCTTAGCAACAAGGCTAAAAACTGGTATAATCCTCACAGATTTAATGTAGGACAACTAAATTAAGGCAATTGGTGGATTCTTCTGTACCACATACAGATGAAAAAAACTATTACCAATTAATTTCCCAAAGAGAGGAGGCAAGTTTTGACAAATGGCCAGAACAGCTGTCAAAGCCTAGTTCCCAAGTAAGAAAATGATACACATATACGTATACGTATACACACACATAGTAAATTTGTGCATTTCCCATCTTTTCAGGAATAATGTCCATTGCAGGATTCTATTACAGCAGGTCTTTCTCAATAGGACACTTGTCTATACATGTCCCTAGTTTGCAATTTAGGTGAAACATTTTCTGACTGGGCTTTTTTTTTTTTAATAAGCCTACCAGTGTTCCGTTTCATGTTTCTGCAAAGTATCCAATCAAAGGGCAGGTGGGAGTTGGCCTGTAAGAAAGTGAAGCAGAGCAGGCAAATCAGACAGCAATGCTGGATCTAACAGAAACAAGAAAACTCTACCTTTGAAAGTGAACCCAGAGGTCACATTTACAGTGGACGAGCAAAGGGTAACATTGCCAGTTCCTGGATGTTGGGCTGTATTGGCAAGCAAGCAATTTTTGGAGGTTCCTGATTTCTAGTTTGTTATATTATACTAATGTAGAAGCAAGAACTAATAAAAATAGAGAAAAAAATCCATCTCCCAGTCCCAAAAGAAAAAGTCAAGAGTTTTTAATAAACAAATGTGGATATAAATATTCACTACTGGCTACTTGTTATTAACTGTACAGCTTATTTTTCATAAATGAAACTCTGGTGGACTGTACTTTATATATTCTATTTCTACCTTGCCTTTTTCAATAATGCGTGCAGAAGGAGCTCCCATGACCTTAACACTCTTCCTTAGAGAATTAGTTCAGGTGGACTTGGGTTGTGTCCTTTTGGGTTGCATATTTCCCTGCATCAGAAATAATCTAGTGTTGTTCACTGGATTATTGAAAAGCTTGCTGACCATTTTAGTTGATTTTAGTAATGACATTGCTTTATGGGAATCTATTCTGACAGAACACCCAACACAAAAGCTTTAGGATGCAATTACTGTAATTGAAGTTAAGTCCATTTAACATCTTGTTTCAGGCTATGGAAGTTGTCAGCATCACTATAAAAGATGGATTTAAAATTGTCAGTAGGTCTGGCACCTATATGGTCCCATCTTCCCTATTGGTAACTTCAGCATACAAATTTCATGCTGGTACTGCAGTTGGTAACACATTGGCTTGGTATGAATTCTGCAAGTGTAACTGAATGTTTAAACCCCAAAGGATTACCCTCTGTGACAAGTTTTCTAAATCTTGTGATTGTTTTTTTTAATTTGCTCTACTTTAATTTGCTTGTTTGGAGTATCAGCTCCTTTTTTTTCCTTCCGAAATTACTAGATACATTTTTTATTTTCCTCTTGATAGACTGATTATTTTTTCTTCTTACAATAGCATTACGATCTTTAATGGGAACTAGCTAGATGTAATGAAGTCTCAAAGTTTAGATGATGCATACATCTTATTAATAGTGCTGTGTGCAGCTAAAAACAAATGGAAATGCAAGTTTGGATTAAGTGGAAAATAGTATTCTACAGTCTTCATACAATGCAACTTTAATCATATTTAAATAATTTAATCCCTGCTTTGGGATTGTTTTTAATGATAAAGCAGGATAGACATTTTATAAATAAACGAATAGTTGCATTTTAAAATTAATGCATTATTCATTTTCTAAAATAAGCACAGCATTGCATATGATGATCACTCATCTGTTGCCTAATCCTATTGTAGAAACTTTATGCTATTACTGGAACGATCTTGAAAAACTAAGCAAGATGAACCTGGTTAGCATTTGGATGGGAGACCCCCCCAAAAAAATACCTGAGTTGTATGCAAAACTGAGAAGTTAAAAAATCATCCCAAAAGAAGATAATGGCAAACCGCTTCCATATAGTTGTCAGTAAAACAGTGTTTGACATATCCATAACATCACTAAGAATTGAGTTTTACTCAAGGAAGATTTTATTTTTTTGACCATGCCCTCTGTGTATGTTTGTACATGCACTTTTACATATAGAATCACAATATTTATTTAATATGCAGCTTGTGAGTTGAACAAATAAATAACTAAATAAAAAGGATAAGGCTGCCCATACTAGGAAGAGAAAGTGTGAATAAATTACAGTAGATGTAACTTTAAAGACAGATTATAGAGAGATCCTTCTGGAATGAGTTACATTAACATTCATTGGAAGTTAAGAAGTATTAACATGCTTAAATTTAATAATGTGCTTGAAGATAAAGACCTAGAAGGAAAATAACAGTCTGACATTTGGACAGCATCACACAGTATAAATGAAGGTATACTGTACATCCTCTTAAGGGGAGCTTTGTTGGGTTTGGGGAAGAGAAACTTTGGGAAAATTGATTTGGTTTTGGCATTCCCGAGGATGCAGATTATGTATTGACTGTTAATTGACTGGGGGGAAAAAAGTAACCATCACATATAATTTTGGGGGGGAGGGGATTCATTGATTTTATCTCTCCTATTTCATCATAAAGCAGTAGCATCATATGAATGTGGGTTGGAACTTGGGAGTAGTAGTTGTGGGAGATTAGGCACAGCAGGTGAATTCAGGCTTTATGTTCCTTAAATTTTTTTGCTAGCTAATACCCCTGCTCTTGTTATGCTACAAAGCAATACTTGACCAGTGAAGCCATGTCAAAAGCATAACACTCTGTTTTGTCTCAGAAACATAAAACCCCCCATTCCATTTGCCCCATTCCCATATCTATCAGATTTTGCAGCTGAGCTAATACAAAAGGCTGAAGAAGTTGATATAAGATGCTGATGCAAATGAAGAAGTTGGGAAAAGAGGACAAGGTCATCCCATTTACAGAAATGTAGAGTAAAGAATCAATGGGAGCGATGAGCCAATAGGATGTTGAAGAAAAAAGATCCTGCACTTCACTGGGTCAGGCTATCCTGGTGCTTTCCGCTTTCCTCAGCATCCTTCTCTTACCTGCTCCTGTCTCTGTGAGATTAAGGAAGCATTAAAGAATTCTACAATAGATGGTATGACACGCTTAAATATGAAAGATTTTTAAAAGACTTCCTTTCCTTCCCCTTTCCACTCTCTACCCTTTTTTCCTTAGTTGGTAACAGCTTGTCAAACTTTTAATGTTTAATCCTCTAATCAATTATCAGACTTTATACTTAAGATTTTTAAAGATTTTTTTATCTCACCTTTGTTATTTTTATAAATGACTCAAAGTGGCGAACATACCTAAAACTCCTTCCTCTTCCCACTAGACCAAGCTGGCTCTTATACTTCAATTCTGTAACCAATTCTAAGCCATAAGAACAAGATCTGACCTTGTTTGTTTGTTTGTCTGACAAATCATCCACCAACATTATAGTACAGTAAACAGCAAACCTTGTATGGTTTTTCCTCATGCCATAGGTTGCAGTGGCAAATGCTCACCATACCTTACATCCCACAGGATTGCAAGTGAACAGGTTGCAGAACTTAGAGGAGCACTACTTGAACATTGTGGCTTGGCCATGTCAAATTGAGTGAAGTATATGAATAAGAAAGATAGTTTTAAAATATCTCAGGGCAGAATCTTAGTAAAGATAGCCTGGGAATTTTGGGGGGCAAGTTTAGTAGAGATACTTCTGTTAAAATCAACTTAAATATCTAGAAGTAAAATCTGGTAGAGATATTTCTGTGACACCTTAGAGCTGGATTTGGTAGAGATATTCCGAGTGAGTTTAACAAATACAGTGTCTGGAGGAGTTTCTGGGATGTTTGGAAGCCACATATGATAGAGATATTCCTAAGATATCTTAGGTCAATGTCCTAATCACATCTTAGGTTTGATAGAGACATCACAGAAGGGTGGGCCAGTTGATAGTCTTAGGCTATCAAAAGCAGGAAACTCAGAAGAGTGTACTTGGATACTGGGTTAATTGCTAGACCTCAGTCCAGGAAAAAAGTGAGTTGTGTGAAGGGAAGAAGAAAGTGTGCTGATACAACCCTTGCTTGAGCTAACACTCTTATGGTTTAAGTATTAATAACTATATAGAACTGTTTGCTCCCAAAAGGCTTGAGAAAATTGTATGCAAAAGCTTTACTCACAGTGAATGGAAGGTAAAGGTTTGTTTTTCAACATATTAATGTTTTTCTTGCAAGAACAGGAGACCTCAGTCTAGTGAACATCTGCTACTCAAGACCTCTGATTTTGACAAACAGATAAATGGATGGTTATGTAAATTTTAATTTTGAAGAAAGGTAGGTTAGTTCCAGAAATAAAGAGCACAACCACATCATATGAAAAAGCTACAAATTTTGATATACAAAGCAAAGATTTATTTGTAAGTTTTGCAGGAGTACATTTTAATAACGCAAAAACGTAGAACTTGACAAATATGTAATAGCAGTGCTTCTATGAAATATTGCTTGTGATCTTTTGAGCAATGTTTCTTGGCCATTGCAAAGCCAAAATTCTGGAACAGATGGTGGTTTGATGCAAAATACTAATTTTCATTTTCTGTATCACCTTATACAACTTCTGCATCAATTTGCTTTGTGCTAAAATGATGGTAACCTCTACATCTGCTGATCCACTTGAATCAACAATATCTATCACAATCACATTGTTCTTCAGAAGCTTCAGTGAAAAAAAGTATCTTTTTACAGGGAAATGTCAAAATGCGTATAAAAGGGAAAACTTTTATGTGTACACAGTGATGGTGCTATTTAAATAAAGAACACTGTTTATAATCATTGTAGTAAATGAAACTATGTAACATGCAGAAAAATTGCAAAACTATAGACTCTTAAGCAGCTGGAGGTCCAAATGAACTCAGTGGGATTGATTTCTAAACAGACACTAACAGAACTGTGTTGCAAGTCAGTTACAGTATGCTTCTAATCAAGTTTGCCCAAGTTTACCTGCCAATGTAGTCCGGCACTCTACTTAGAAATCAGTCCCACTAACTTTAATAGAGTTTATTCATAAATAAGTGGGCACAGATCTGCAACAATAGATTTGTGAGTTCTGTAATAATGATGGTTAGAGTGCTTGTAATTAAGTATTTTTAGGACAAAAACTTGAAAGTTATTTTTTTTTAAATAAGGTAACTATTTCAAAAATATGTATATATTGTGATTTTCTCTCATTGTATCTATATTTTAATCTCATTGCTTGAATAAATGCTGAGAAATTTATTGTTTACAGTAATATAAGCTTGGTCTAAATTTGTAAACTTCTTTGTTCATTTGGACATTTTTCATCCATAAATCTTTCTAGTGCATTCCAATAAATAAGGATTTGGTTAGGAGTGATATGATGGCTTGTAACAATTTTCCTGTAGTGGCAAGGAGAAAAAAAAATTTCGCTTGAAAAAAAGACAGGTTCTGTATGAAGTTTTTCAGGTTGGATTTTGAGTTTCTCAACACAGATACCTACAAACACATCTTCCAGCTTAATAACAGTGATCTGTTTTGAAACTATATAAACTTGACTAGCAACATCGGAGGAGAGAACATAACCAGTTCCTGAACAAAAGGGAGGGTAAAATTTCTCTGGATATTCCTCTTCACTTATATACCATTTTATGTCTGGATCCCTTATTGGTTTTTCACCCATTTTTACAGAACCTGTATATAACCGGGTAGTATTCTTTCGTTTCCAAAGAAGTTCTGTCAGATAATAGACATTCACAAACATATCAGAATCAGTTTTCATCACAAAAGTAGCTTGTGGACAGAATTTGTGAATCCATTCAAAGCCCATTAAAGTCTTTAAAGTTAAATTATTGTATGAATCCATAAAATTCTTTTGGATGATATCTTTATAATGTAAGCTTTCCATAGTCACATTAAATTGTCTATATGGCCAGAAATGATTTCCCAAGAGAAAAAATGTCACAATGAGTTTGTCAGCTATTACTCTTTCCTTTCCCCATGTTTTACGAATTATCATTCGGGCCTTTCTTTCACCAAGTTCTGATGATACCAATATTACTAGGAATGGAGGATTCTTACGGCAATCTATATCCGGCAATTCCAAAAAACTTTTCCTCATAATAAATGTGACAATGTAATTCAAGAGGATGATTGTGATCAAACAAGCCAGGACCAATAAAAGAAGATAAATAAGGAACTGTCTCTTGAAAGAAATCTGAAAAAGAAGAAAATTTACACACACACACATATAGATATATGATGCTATTAATTAATTAAAACCCCTTTAATTGCCACTCTTCAAAACCATTTTCTTAGGCTGGCTTACAGCACTAAAACCACAGTTAAATTAAAAAGAAAATGAAATGGTGAATAACATGCAAAGATAAACAATAAAAACATGGACTGTAGGTACAGATTGGTTAACAATTTCTATTGCAGTATGGTCATTTGAAATATAAACATATCAACATATTAACAGGATTATGAGAATAAAAATATATTTTCTGGGCAAAAAAAAAAGTAACAAAATATGGTGCTAGACACACATTACTGGAGAAATTTCAGAGAATGGGACAGGGGTAGGGATGAGGGACAGAGAAACCCCACTCCTGGGTAGCATGGGAAGGTACCTAGAAAAGAGCTTCTATGGGCAATTTTAGAGTACAGGTAGGAACGTATGTGAAAATACAAAATCTTATGTGTGGAAGATGTTTGAATGCATATGTGTAAGATACTGAGGTGCTTTTACATCTGTACCACAAATATAATGTGATAGGCTGGCTTTAAAAAAATGTATGGAAGGAAAAATAAGAAATGAGAGGCTCAGAAATGCAGTGAATAGGAGGAAAAAGAGTGAGAACGGAAAGGGTAACAGAATTAATAGTAGTTGGGGAAGACAGAGAAAAGTATAAACTAGAACTGAGAGTAAATGTCATATCACATATTGTATTATTGGTAGGGTAGGTAATATGGTATCTGCTGGCTGCAATGAACCATCAAACACTTTACCTGTTGGTGGCTGATTGGTTTTTAATAAAAATAATAAATAGAAAGCTGCTGGCATTCTACAAAAGAAAAGGCCATATTTCACGCAAGCATGATATTTTGCAGCAATGACTCTGCACCACCTGGACTATAGAAGCATCCAAGGGAGACTAAATTGACTTCTGATAAATGGATATTTTGTAACTTGCCTTGCTCACCTTGGCAACCATTTTGTGAATAGGTCTCATACGGCAGCCATTTTATGATAGCATTTACTATACACTCTCACTTCCCATTTGGACTATTGCAACTTGCTCTATATGGGGCTGGCACCGAAGACCATCTGGAAACTTTACCTGGTCCAGAATACAGCTACTTATGTAGTGATGGGAGTTCCAAAGTTCTACTTCAAGAACTGCACTAGTTATTAGTCAGCTTCCAAGTGCAATTCAAGGTGCTGGCTGTCATCTTTAAAGCCCTATATGGCTCCTCTGCTGTAATGTATTTGCCTATATGCATGTGTGTATTTAATTTGTTTAAAAAATAAATTAAAAAAAAAAGCCTATATGGCTCAGGACATGGAGATCTATGGGATCATCCAGTTCCAGTGGCTTCTGCCTGTCATATAAGATCAAACAGAATAGGCTCACTCCAGGTCCCTTCCCTTAGGGACTGCCATCTACAGGGCCCAAGGAATGGAATCTTTTCTATTGCAGCCCCACTTCTTTGGAATAGCTTACTGCCCAAGATCAGACTGGCCTCTACCTTGTTGTGTTTTAGGATACTTGTTAAAACCTGGCTTTTTAAGAAAGCCCTAAAAGGTGTTCTAGTATAATCCAGGTTTTGTTGAATGCTTTTGTTCTCAATGGCCTTAGTTTCTTTCTTATCAATGTTTATTGTTTTTCTTTTGTACCCCAGGTTGTTATTTTATTATATCACGTTTGTATTTTAACATTTTTACTGTAAGAAGGAAATGTAAGCTACTCTTGAGTCCTGCTAGATTCGAGCAGCACATAAGCATATTAAATACTGTAAATCAATACATTCTGTATGGTTCGTTGACCTCAAAAAGTTGCTTATCCCAATAGTGAGAGCTGTATTCAGACTTAATTCCTGTCAAGTGTAGAGTAAACCAATTGAAGTGAAAGGGCTTTTAAGCTGGGGCTGTATTTAAATGTGTGTACTCTGGTTATGTTTGTATACAACTGTATGATCTTAGATTATCTACTCACAGCAATTATCAGATTCAGAGGAGGAATATTTTTCATATCTATGAGAAAGGAAAAAACCATACCTGCAAGAATCCCTATTAATGTCACCCTTCCCACCCTGAAACTATCTGCATATTTAAAACTTGCACCTTAAATGCAAATATGAATTCCTCATCAACCTCCTTGATAAACAGTTGTAAAAATGCACTGAAGAAACTGAAGTTTTCTTCAGTTTTAGTAGTTTTCAGTTGTATCTTCAGCCATATCTGGTTGACAAGATACAACTGGCTTTAAAATGAAACCAACTACCCCAAAAAGAAAAAAAAATCAGAAAGGAATATGCTTGTGAACATTGAAACAAAATAGACTATTTTTATAGTTTTATCATCTCTGATATAGGAGATGCTGGCCACAATTGCAAAAAGCACTCCTGCTTTCCCTTGTGGCTGTCTGCAAATAAATCCCATATAAAATTCTCCAAGGAGATTGGCTCCATAACACATCTTTTCCATCAGGCCTAGTTACAACAGGCCCCACCTCTGACACCCACCAAGCCCTTCACCTCCACCCGTGGCCCACCCTTCCTTCTCAGAACCCGTCCCTCCACTTTAATGCTTTGCTAGTTGACTTTCAGATAGTGAAACACCCACTTTCTTTGTAGCCACTTGAAGCCTCTTCAGGGCAGAGGCAGCCATCTTCCTTCTCACCCAGGAAGAGTCTCCTGATGGGAAACCTGAGCCTAAAGGGGATGGTAGAAGCCTGGGTCAGCCCAAAACTGTAACAATTTCCCCAAGTCAGGGCACAGTAATGTTCTTGTTTTTTAAAGAGCGTTAACAGAATAAGGAGGGAAAAAGAAGGTCAAATATCATGAGTGGGCAAAAATATTCTTACTGAATGTCAAAGAAAAATAAATCTTTATATGGTATCTCAGCTGTTCATTCACAAATCTGTTTAAAATATGGCCAACTTATACTATGTAGGCCTTGCACAGCGCCTAATTTCAGACAATTTTAGCACTTTGGCTTATAGTAATACAATATATTTAGGACTTACAAGAGTGTTGAATACTTAAAAGACAAAAAACACTTTTGGACCATGTTAAATTAACGTCTTCTCTAACCTGCTACCTTCCACCCTAGTCAGCAGTTACAGACTTTTCCACTATTATTCCCCCAAAGCTGGCAGTTTACATCAGAATCATATACATATTTACTCAAAAATAAATGCTGTATGTTTCAGAGAACTTGCTATCAGATAACTGGGAACAGGATTGGAGCAGAATCAAAAAAAGCCAAAATTGAGCCCTGACTGGGTGATCAAAGCCCCACCCGTTTTTTGCTTGTGTTGCCTGCAGCACATGTAAAAAAGGGGCTGGGTTTCTATCAAAAAGTCATGGCCACCATCTTGACTTTTTTGACCCCCATTCTCTCATGAAAGCCCATAAATAGGATTATAGCCCTAACATCATAATAAGGTTCATAGATACAAACACTTTATATTTGATCCATTCAACATACAGTAAAGACTCCCTTGACCTGAAGTCAGTTTCTGATAACTTCATCGATACATATATGTAGGTTTTTGGTTTTTTGTAATAGTAGTTTGCCATTGTCTTCTGAGATGTTTCTTTAATTTTCTTAATCTACAGACCAGGTAATTTCATGGTATTCTCCCCTTCAAATAATTTCTAAGTCCGATCCTACTGAATATCACATCACAGATCGTCCCCGGTTAACAATGGTAATTGGGGCTGTAAAGCATATTGTCATATGACCACATCGCGATGGCAATCCCAGCTGTCCCCGTTGCCATCATTAAGCAAGAATCACGGGTCGTTAAGGAAGGACCTCCTTGCAACTTCCTGCTGGCTCCCAACAAAGTCAATGGTGTTGTGTCTGGGGGGGGGGGGGTTTGTGTGTGTGTGTGTGTGTGTGTGTTTCTAGTTTATTTAAGCATTTTATTTATTTAAAACTGGTACAAAGCTAATACTGTACAGGTTTTGATTAAAAACTAATTTGGGAGGATTGTAATTAATAAAACTGTAAGAAATTATGGGTTGAATGGTATGTCTTTCTGTTCACTGGTTTGGTTTTGGTAGCCCCTCCTACTGCTACCATGCAATCTGCTTATTTGAAACTAATTTGCATTGGACCAAAACATTATCACACTTAGTTTACATTTTTAATATACATTTAGTTCTATTTTTATTGCTATAATTTGTAGCTATAAATTGCCCCCCCAAAAAAAGAAGAAAAAATACTACACAGGCATACCTTGTTTTATCATGCTTCGCTTTATTGCACTTCACAGATACTGCATTTTTTTTACAAATTGAAAGTTTGTGGCAAACCTGTGTCAAGCAAGACTATCAGATGATGATTAGTATTTTTTAGCAATAAAGAATTTTTTAATTAAGATATGTACATTGTTTTTTAGACATAATGCCGTTACATACTTAATAGACTACAGTATAGTGAAAACATAACTTTTATATGCACTGGGAAACAAAAAAATTGTGTGACTCACTTTATTGCGATATTCGCTTTATTGTGGTAATCTGGAACTGAACCTGCAATATCTCCAAGGTATGCCTGTACCTATAATCTTGTTTCTTGTTTTTCATTTTTCGTTTTTCGATTCTTTTTTTTGTTTTGTTTCTTTTCATTTCTTTTTGGGAGGGGGAATATATAGAGAGGCCCAAACAAAAATGAAGTGCATGCTTTCTTTTAAACAACTTGGAATGGTTGTTCTTAGAAAAATATAAATTTGTTGATTTATATATTTCAAACTGTTTAGCTCAGATTAATATTGATAAACTTCATGGGGAAGAATAAATAAAAAAAACACTTCTAGACTAATGTATACTCAAAGAAGGATTCTTTTGCAAATTTCTCTTTTAATAGATGATAAATTATTAAGAGAGCTTTTATGGGTTTCCTCCATCTAAATGGAGACTTCCCTATGAAGATGCAGGCTTTAATTTTCCAGCTTTCAACTCTACCACTGTGCTTATCTTTTGACTTCTGTTTTATTGTGGCATCCAAGTGATATGTTTCAAAAACTATTATGGGCACAGCTATAAAGTTATTACCTGATCATTCCAATATCTTGGCTGGATTTTCCTTCTTCTTTCATCCAAACTTCAGTTGTTTTTCCAACATTAAAGAGTGAAAGCATATTTGGAAGATTGGGGGATGGAAATTTAACTTCAAACTCTGTTCACATGAAAAACTAACACCTTGGGATAAACCTAATTTAAAAATCACTGGTAAAATTTTTGGCAAAGTGTGGGAACAGAAAATTACATTAATCCCTAAACCAGCTTATCATTAATTACTCCTTGAAAATATTTGCTGTATTACAAGAATAATTTGAATTTTCTAAAACCTCTTAATGGCAACATATTCTTTTGACTTCCTAGTTTGGATGTGGCTTGTATCACTTTTTGTATTGGAAAGTGTTTTGGAAGAATTTGAACTTACTGTTTATTTCTATAGCTGAAGAGAGGGAGATACTGATAATCCGCAAATTTGAAATATCTTATTTTAACAAATCAATGTTCTTGTGTTTAAAAAAGTGTTAAATGTATTTCCTGAAATGAGACTGATTCATTAAAATATTGTTTTTCACATTTATTGGACATCTGAGAGGGCTAGATGTCAACTTTCTTTATGCTAGAGATATATATTTGAGGAAACTCTAATATATACTGTACAATTTGAGCATATCTATCTATCTATCTATCTATCTATCTATCTATCTATCTATCTATCTA